ACCATCATGTCTGATCACATAATGCAGCATCAGAATGCAACGGTGCAAAAAGCCGCGCTCCCCCCCCACACACGCATTTTCCGGCACGTCTGACCGGGGCTTTGGAGCACTTTCTAAAAACTTCTAAAGATAGTGCCCACATTTAGAAACATTCTGAATATGAATATCACAACAGCTGTGATGATGAGAGATTCAAGATTAGAGCTTTCCAGCATTTTTGGACTGGCAATTGCACCCCCAGAAGCTATATTTGAAAGTCACCTTAGATGGGCCCCAGTCTTAGCTATATTTACTGCTCAGTTACTTATGCATCTTGACTCTAATTGGCCCTTCCTGGCAACAACCTCCTCACCCTTTACCTGTATGTAAAGGTTGATGACTTCTTTGTTTTAATGTCTGTGAAGAAGTGTGCATGCTCATGAAAGCTTATACACAGCACAAAGCTTTGTTGGTCCTAAAGGTGCCACTAGATTCAGACTTTGTTCTGCTGCTTCAGACCAACATGGCTACCCACCTGAATCTACCCTGTGAGGTAGGTTAGGCTGAGAATGACTAGCCCAAGGTCAAACCTAGCAAGCTTCCATGGCAAAGTGGGCTTTCAAACCCAGGTCTCCCTGATCCTAGTTTAAGGGTGACAGGTCCTGAACTCCCTGGGAATTGATTGGGAATGGGGCTTCGGAAGGGAAAGCATTGCTGATGCTTTGACGTAGCTTTTGGGTGAAATCGCTGAAATGACATCACTGCCACCCCTATAACAATCTAGGAATTCCCAAAACTCTATGGTACCATAGAGATTTGGTCAGTTCCTAAGGTGCTGTGTGGGTGAGCAGTGACGTCACTTCCATTTCTATACTTGGAAGTGACATCAAAATGTCAGGAGTGGGATTTCCCTCCCATTGCTCACCAGAGAGCGGGGTGGGAGTTCCCCCAGCCTTTAGCGGGCACCTGCCAACCCTACCATCCAACACTATAAAATACTATTCCACACTAGCTGGTTATTAGCTCTGGCTTTTCTCTCATTCTGGGTTAATAACAGCATGGGAGGGGTGTAAGTGTAGAACAAGAAAGCCATGCAGTTAAACTTCTTCTGCACCTTCCCCTGGTCTGGCCACAATATAGCAGCAGTCCAACTCAGGGTCCTGCACATCTGCTACCATCCTTCAAAAATGCTGGAAAGATCTGATCACGGATCTCCTGGTTGCAGATCAAACTAGATTTCAGGATTACAGCCATGATAAATAAACCATGGCTTGTCTGACTTACTGGTTCCTGAAACATGGGTAAAGTAGAGCATACTCGGGGTGTGTGTGTGTGGAGTCTTTGCCAAAATCACAGCATATGATTTAGTGCAGAGAGTTAAAAATACCTGCTTGACCCATGGGGCATGTGCTTGGATCATTCCCTGCAGGGAGAGCAGATCAAAAAGACCATCCTGTTTAAAATAAAATGGGGCCACCTCCGTCTCCCTGTTAGACTAAATGAAAGAGAATGTTCTCTCTCCCTTTCTCTGTCGTAGGAATGCTGTACAGGATTTGCTGGCCAAAAATTACCTCTGGTGTGCTGAAGCCAGCCTTTGAACTGGAGGCTAAATAACTCGGCGGCTTCTGCTTTAAAAAGTCTTTACTCTTATTGGGAGGGGGGACTTGGTACCCTTCACAGGCTAGGGTATTTCTTCATTTCTTTGGGGCCATTTTTTATTTCATTCTTTCATCTTTGGCAGCCCTCAGTGCAGCAAACAGCACATAACTGAAAGCTGTAAAATTGCAAAACTAATAAAAATTAAATTAAATTTTAAAACATCGGGAAAGAACAATTAGAATCACAAAATGGTCAGGTGATACAGACAGACAGCAAGCATTATTTCAGTTCATTTCATTTGCAGAGCTTCCAGAGCTGAAATGCCTTCAGTTTGTTGCAGAGGGTCTGTAGGGATGCTCCCAATCTCACCTCCTGTGGGAGGGAAGGCTACCGCTGAGGGGTGACAGCCAAAAAAACCCCACAAACCCTCCTGTGGATTCCCATCAGTCTCACTCTGATTCCCACAGAAAGACACAATCCATCAGTCTCAGAACTCAGGCATGTTGATACAGGCAAAGGAACCCAAACAGTTCAGGACTTTAACAGTGCCATCCTAAGCCTAGTTACACCCTTCTAAGTCCATTGAAATCGGTGGGCTCAGAAAGGTTTGACTCAATTTAGGATGGCACTGTTGACAGTAAGAGAAGTAGATATGAGGGGTCTGGGAATTGGCTGAAAATAAAGAAGATCCGCTCTCTGAGGATATGATGAGGGATAGCAGATGTGCTGCCCTGGAGGAGTGCCCCATTGCCTCCCTCTGTTCTTCCTGTATATGTGTAAATAAAACAAACCTCACAAAGACACCCTAAGTCTCCAGAGCATCAAAACCAAAGAAAAAGAACTTTTAAAATGTGATGTATATATGGGGTTGGGATGTGGAATGATATAGTATAGCCCAGTCTTGTCAAATCTTGGAAGCTAAGCTAGGTCGGTACTTGGATGGGAGACAACCAAAGAAAGCATTGCAGTGGAAGGCAATGGTAATCCTTAATTACTTGCCTTGAAAATGTTATGTCACTGCCATAACTCAGCTGTGACTTAAGAACATAAGAAGAGCCCTGCTGGATCGTTTTAAGTCAAACAGATCTTCTAACCTGCATCAGATACCTACCAGGCAACTGGTGGGGGGATCCTTGGTCCTCTCTTGGACCCAGAAGTGATGTCATCACATTGCCACCATTGGGGGTGATGCTCTAGCTTTTGGGCAAAACTCTATGGTTTGTAGCCAATTTTACCATAGAGTTTTGCTCAAAAGCTAGAGCATTGCCATGCAATGTCAGCGATGTGATGACATCACTTCTGGGTGACATCATCACATTGCCTTTCAGGCCAGTTGGGAATGGGATTTCCCCCTGCCAGCCAGCTGGCCGGCCATTTGGCGGGGAAGCACCCAGCAAAAGCAAGGGTTCCCGCACCCCCAGTGAGGGTCTGGCAACCCTAATCAGACCAGTGGTCCATCTAGTCCAGCATCACACCGACGCCACCCCCAGATTCATGCATCAACGCAACAGCAATTCCCTTCCCCCATTTCCCCCACACCATTCTACCGAGCAGCAGTGAACACAAAGGCCTCCAAGATGCAGGTCTCCCACTATCATGAGAGACCCGTCCACCTCATAATATTCATGTACATACGTGTATCTCTAAGTGAACCCTTGAGAACTAGTTGCTCCTTCACCTTTGAAATCTGTATAGGAAGAGCTTCAATTGGCGCTTGTGATTTGGTGTTGGTTGTGTTTATTAGTGCTTTTTCCTCAATGGAAGCAGCAAAGAAACTTTTCATTGAAGCTGGCAGAGTCTACTGTGTCTTGGCTACAACGGGACTGAAATGGAAGCAGGACAGGTAAATTCAGCCCTGCTACCTCACCAATCCAAGAATACTTGTGTAAAACAAAGGCCTTTGACTCTTCACCTAAAACTACTCACCATAAATTTCAAAGTCTTGCATAAATAAGGGTATAAATTCTTATTTAAAGGTGTAAATTAACAGCTGATATCTTCACCAAAAATGAAAGATGGAGCATGTTAAGATGAATATAAAGATCAGAAGCCAGGTCTTCCCCCCACCCCCAGGAGCCCATCTCTTTTGAGGCATGCTTACAAATTAATTATCATATGGCATTGTATGTAGAATAGCCAGGAGATCATAAGATTTTCTGTGAGCCGGAAGTTCTAGCTCTTTAGCATTATGCACCACTAGGTGGTGAGCTAGACTTGGTGGTTTTTTAAGTCAAGCATATCTTCTAACTTGCATCAGATACCTAGAGAGGACTTGCCCCCCCCATGTCCTTTATCTTCGGACAACTCACAGCTCACTGGTCTTCTTATACATACGTCAAGCGAACCATTGGTCTGTCAAGGTCAGTATTGACTGCTCTGACTGGCCACAGTTCTTCAGGGTCTCAGGAAGCATCTTTCACATCACCTACTACCTGGTCATTTTGGCTGAAGATGCTAGTTGTTGAAGCTGAGACCTTCTGGTGTGCAAAGCAGATGCTCTGTTACTGAGACACAGCCCCTCTCTTTTTTTTCCTCCTCTTTCTGCCTCTTCCAAACCACAATTCTCTCTCTCTCTCTTTTATTGGATGAGGATAAAACAGGTGTTGAGTTTTGGGTTAGAAGGAGCTATAGACAAAAGGGGGAAAGAGAAGGGAGCTCTGAACCCTGACTTGCTAAGCCAAAGAAAAGGGAAGTCACAGTCCTGCTCCTTCCCTATAGACCTCAGAGGCCTCTGCAAAAGCAATAATAATCCAAATTAGATGCCTGCTTATAGCACAGGGCATACACTAGACTGTTGCTGTATGTCTTTCAGCTGCAGCATTCATGCTGGGGAAGAAAATTAGCACAAGCAAAATGCATACTAATGAAGCCAAAACCATTCAATTCTTTCTTTTTAAAATTTTTAGAATAGCCCTTAGGGAGCTGATCTCCTGGGAAAAGAATAACTGCATGCTTTTTTGTGCTCAGGTGGGAGCTTTGCTAGAATCCAGTTCCTCAGAGGTGATAAAGAGAGGCAAAAATGTGTTTTTTGCGTAGCTAATTAGTTTGAAGAGGTGGGGGTCTTATGGAGCAAGCAAAAATACAACTTGGAACACAGCCTGCATGGCAAACATCTTTGGATTATCCTTGTTAAATTGTAGGTCAGGCTGTATCCTAATTTACTGTTTGCCGTTTGGACCAAACCAGGTGAGACTCAGGAAGGACTGTATGATTTCTCCAGAGGGACATACAGCAGCTGGAAGAGAGCTGTGCTTGGGGGGGGGGGGAGAGAACGAGCTCATTGGGAAAGGATTTCTCAAAAGCCCTCCCCCACTGGCGTAGCTCTGATCCAAAGAAGGCCCCTCCCTATGGCTGATTTCAGCTTTTGAAAAACAACATAGGGAAGCCAGTCATTAATTTTCCTAAACTTCATCAAGTCAAACACTCTGCAAGCTTTCTGGAACTAAATAAAAATCCTTTGTGTATTCCCAATGCTCAGTCACAAGCACCTGCAATAGACATGCGGGACAACAAATATCTCACTGAAGACCATAAAAACGTGGAAAGTAATTAGGGGGACATGCCGGATACAGCTGCCCCAATCATAGCCAAGGGCCGTACACAGAAGGAAACAGGCTTTCTGAGCCCTGTTCACACGTGCAGACAGATGCAGCACACATTTCCCCAGCCCAATCCAGCAGCCAGGGCTGGAATCTCACCAGTTTTAGGGCTTGATTTAGTACCTCTGTAGGGTTACCACTAGGCTACACAGATCAGTTCCCCTGGAGGGAGATTCTGCTGCTCTCCCTCCCCACGTCACATCCCTGCTGCTCTCCCTCCCCACCCCAGACTCTGCCCTCCGCACGCGCAGCCCACAGATCTCCAGGAATTTACCAGTACCAGGGCTGTCAACCCTCCCCTGCTCTCCTTTCCTTCCCAAACTGCCGGATTCTCTTTAAAAGTTTACAAGCAAAGAGCCTGGCCTGCCCTGCACATTGGGTTGCCAAGCTCCGTGTGGGGCCTGAAGATCTCCTGGAATCACAGCCCCAGATTATGGAGACTAGTTCCCCTGGAGAAAATGGCTGCTTTGGATCTATGGCATTTTACCTCGCGGGAGTCCCTCCTCTCCCCAAATCTCGCCTACCCAGGCTCCACCTTCAACATCTCCATGAATTGCCCAGTGTGGAGCTGGCAGCCTCACGATATGTAAATTGGACTGAATCCCTGTAACTCTGGATGTTGTGAATTTCATAGCAAAAATGGCAGTCAAACTCCCATTGTTTGGCAGTCATGATCAGATCGTGAGCCCATTATGTTCACCTTGCACCAGACAGCTGCTTTCAGCTGTTCTGCTGGCAGAAGCTGACTCTCAGCGGAACTGGAGAAGAACTAGGATTCAGGTTCTGATCTTCAAATACTTCCCTGCGTCCCAAAAAGGAAAGTTTCAAGAAAGAATCAGACGCCGGCTCCCAGCTGATGGGGGAATCAGATGGGAGTCGGCTTCTGATCCACTCGAGATGAAGCAGTTTGTTTCCTATCTGCCTGTTTGCAAACAGGGATATAAAATGTTGATCACTACTGTTCCCTCTGAAGCAAGGGGGGGGGAGGGCAGAAGATGCAACTTGCTTGTCAGCTGCTCACCTCAAGCAAGGAGATTAGAAGCTGTTTGCTCATATTTTTGCCCCCCCCCCCCAGCAAGGCAAAGAATCTGGGAGAAACTGAGGGGGAGATAGATCAATTGAGCATTGGCTTCTGTTCTACCCCCTCCCCCCCACACACACACACAAGGCTTCTTCCGGAGTGCATACAGGGCTGGGACACAGTGAGAATTTCCCTGTTCATGCCAAACTGGTAAAAATATGAACAGCCCTCAAACAATTTAATTTCTGATCACTTCTGGTGATCAGAAGGTAAGCCAAACTCTGGTGGGGGGGAGTGTTTGAGGGGAGAGTTTGAGCATCCCTAACTGTAACCAAATTAATTTGTTTAAAAAGCTATGGATATTACAGAGTTCTGTTGCAAGTTCAAGTTGTTTGCTCTGGTGGTGGTGATAGAAAATGCTGTCAAGTCATAGCCAATTTATGGTGATCCTGCAGGATTTTCAGGGCAAGAGATGTTCGGAGGTGGTTTGCTATTGCCTGCCTCTGCATAACAACCCTGGACTTCCTTGGTGGTCTCCCAGTTTGCTGTAGTGCAACTTAATTTTTGCTTTAGAAAACAGAGAAATATATTCATGTCTCTATGGACGGGAGGATTTTTGCCTGCAGAGTGCCTCCCCTTCTTCTGTAGTCCAAAAGGCACTGTGAAAAATTGTACCAGCATGGGGGAGGGGTGCAATTTGAATTACAGTGGGTGAGGGGAGGGGAGAAAGTCACTTTCCATGGTAGAAATTTTGTCCACAGAAATGCTCTGGTAGATCCAAGCCATGATCCCTATAAAAGGAGAACGTTGACGGGACTTAAGCGTGTAGAAGACTCCCCCAAGCAGCAGGTTTTTGGGTACCTTTGTGACTGGTACAGCTAACACTTCATTTTAAAGTAATAGTAAATCACTAAATTAAGTGGCTATTTTAACGCCAAAAAAAGCATTTTGTAAGCAATTACTTGAGCAAGAAATTAAATTGTTCAAAAAGTAACACTCATGTATGGTATGGGTTTGGGATATTTGTCCAGACTATCTGGTTGTCCCCATGGGATGCCCTGGCCCATGAGATTGAATAACACTGTATTCCCCCCCCCCTTCTTTTGCAGAGCTGAAACAGAAAGAGGACTTTCAAGAAAGCACATTATTGAAGGTGTGTGCTGGGCACAGAACCATGTTGATTGGTCCCATTTAACATAACAACAACAATAATAGCATTTATTACATTATTTATGACTGTTACATTTATTACATTATTTATTAATTAGTCCCAATTAACATAATAACAACAATAATAGCATTTATTACATAGCACATATAGAATGTTCAAAGTGCTTCACACTTTACAGTAGTTCATCATCCTTGTAAGGCAGATAACTAAAGTTATACTGCAAGCGGAGGACAGATGTAAGAGACAGAGACCTAAGGCCATCTAGTGGAGTGATCCTCAACATGGCACCTGTGGGCATCAAGATGCGTTTCCCGATGCCCACTTCCTTGTCCTTCAAGGGTGATGCCTCCTGAGCTGTTCTGAAACATCTCCAACTCCAGTGAGGTAGAGGAAAGCCAAGACTGGCTCATTGCTTTGGGGAAAAGATGCACATGAACACATGAAGCCATCTTATATTGAATCAAATAATTGGTCCTTCAGGGTCACTACTGTCTACTCTGTCAGGTCCCAGCTCTCCAGAGTCTCAGGCAGAGGTCTTTCACATCACCTACTACCTGATTCTTTTAGCTGAAGATGCTGGGGGTTGAACCTGGGACTTTTTGCATGCAAACCAGGTGCTGTACCTCTGAGCCATATTAATGCTTATTTATCCTATGTGATTAATAAGACGACACATGTTAGGAAGCTTGAATTGGCAGTGAGCTTTCAGCATGTGTATATGAAGAACAATAGAGATGTCACATTACATCGTTACAGAGGATGGTGTATGTTTGTGTAGGAAATAGTCATGCGTGAAGTGTCCCTCTGTGCAAAAATATCCCTTAACTGCTTCTTAATGAGAGTGCTAGAACGACCGATATAAAGCCACATGTTTGTGCAGTGCCAGCTGTTGGATCATCTGACCTGGGTTCAAGGCTGTTGGGAAACAAGCTTTTAAGTCACCATGGCTAGTAGGCACTAATAGACCAATCCTGCATGAAACTTTCTGATTTTGATAATATTGTTTTAATGGTGTATTTATATAATAATATTCAATAGCTGATTTTAAAAAAATTGGAAAAGCCTCAGTGATTTGATGGAGGTGGGGATGGCTGCTGCCAGGGGTATGGGGAGAGGAAACTGCAGGGAAACCTGCCATGTGGAAATACTGTTGGTGCAGCTCTTTGGGGGATGGGCCATTACTTAGTGACAGAGTATCTGCTTTGCATGCAGAAGGTCCCAGGTTCAATCTGCGGCATCTCCAGCTAAAAGGATCAGGTAGGAGATGATGTGAAAGACCTCTGACTGAGACCTTGGAGAGCCACTGCCAGTCTGAGGAGACAACCGTAACTTTGAATCGGAGGTCTGGTTCTGTATAAGGCAGCTTCCGTGTACATCGGTGGCTGCACCAACAACAGGGAAACTATAACAGCTTATCCCCATGTGGAAAACCCCATGGAGAAGAAAGGGCTATGAGCATTGTGAAAAGCCTTCTTTCAGTTAGTGAAACTATGGAGCCCCAGAAGGCCCCTTCTCCTCTCCCTTCACAACCCCAAAGCCATCGGTATGTGACCGGCTGTTAAGATTCCCCTTCTGTGCAGTTTTTCATATCCAGTGGACCCCTGATTGGCAGGGCTTAATTATGGGGAACAATGCCAGTGCAGTGAGCATGGGGGTGGTTGGGCAACCAATTCACTTAGACGTGATTTTGATTAGATGTGCTTGGAAACAAAATTTGTGCTCTGAACTCTGTCCCCAGAGGCTACGATTTGACAGGCACATCAGCATGCAGTTGTTAAACGCTTGTCTACTCCAGTCCCAATTTTGATATAAAAATCTTGCAGAAGTCCATGAATTCTGCATGAATCAATGTTTTGATCTTTTTTTGATAGTGTAACCTCATCTGTCCGCCACACATTCAAACACAGTTCAGTGCAATGATATTTCTGATCTATCAGACATGTATTCCACACTTCTTTTTGACATTTTCTATGCAATCTCTCCCATCTTTTTTTTTAACTTCTAGGATTAAAAGCTTCCCTTCAGAGACTGCAGCTTGAATATGTGGATGTAGTCTTTGCAAATCGGCCGGACAATAATACCCCGATGGAAGGTTAGTGAAAGGTTTAATAAAAAAATTTTGTTTGATTGATCCTAGGTTACAGGCTTATCCAAATCATGATGGGATACAAAAATATTCAGGATGCACAAATGACATGCAAAAACCTCCATGTGGTCTCCTTGGAGTCTTTCATGTTTCCACTCTTAAGTGAATGTGCTTGCTGAGGTACGTGGAAGTTCTGTGTCTATAACCCCAGGGCCACGGTTAAGTGTTTCTGATGGAGCTTTGCTACCATTTGCTCCCTGTATGTAAATATTTCCTTTTGCTTGATTTAACCAAAGAAATTGAAGTTAAGAGTTTGCACTTGATATCACAATTTTATTTCAGCTTCAGCCCCCATACAGTCCTCAGCCACAGTCCATCACTGCAGTTACGTTCTTATCCCACTCTTCATCCAAGGAGGTCAAGGCAATGGACGTGGCTCTTCTCTCCTCGACTTTATCCTCACAGCAACCCAACAAGTTAGGTTAGATGGACAGATAATGACTGGCCAAGGTCATCCAGGGAGTTCCATGGCAGGGCAGAGGGGTGGCTTTTTTAGTATTTTTTTTGTATGTTTCATATGTGTGTTGTTAGATCGCCGCTAACAAAGATCCAGACAGTGATTTCAGCAAAGTGAATCAGCTTTATTGCAAGGAACGAACAAACACTTAAAGCATTCATAAACTGAACAGATTAACATTGGGAGCTATGCTCCTTTTAAACATTCCCGGGCTAACATAGCCATGCCTATTTACAATAAACAACCAATGCGATTGTCCGGATAAAGACAGATGAAAGTTCTTCCTGCTCAGGGAATTTGCTCCATTGTGATTGGTCGCTGTTTCGGAGCGACCAATAGCGTATCGTTGTGTATGGAGCCTTTGTTGGCTGGAAGCTTAACATGGGAGGTGAATGAGGCGATTCATGTAAGACTTTCAATACATTACATTTGTGTGTGTACTTATATCACTATAGTGCTATAACACAATAGAATAAGAAAAGACTGGATTTATACCCTGCCCTTCACTACCCAAAGGAGTCTCAGAGCAGCTTACAAACTCCTTTCCCCTCCCCTCCCCACAACAAACACCCTGTGAGGTAGGTGAGGCTGAGAGAGCTCTGACAGAAACTGGTCTTTTTCAAGAACAGCTCTTATCAGAACTACGGCTTACCCAAGGTCATCCAGCCAGGTGCAAGTGGAGGAGTAAGGAATCAAACCTGGTTCTCCCAGATTAGAGTCTGCGCACTTAACCACTACACCAAACTGGCTGACATTTTTTTAAGGCCAGAAAAAAACACTCAGGCAGGGATGGCAAAAAAAATGGCAGGCACCACGAGACCGTGAAGAATACCCCTATGTGGGCCCTCCGTTGCCACTGTGAATGCCTCTGCGGTTGCAGCAGCAATGAGTGCACAATAGAGAATTGTCCCTTTGTGGAAGCAGTGCACATCTAAGAATATCAAGGGTCCAAAATTATTGCTCAGCGCCGCAGGTTCACTCTAAATAAATACAGCAACCTTGACATAGGGGTCTGTATGATTGAGTTGCTAATTTGCCTTGCTTATTATGAAGGGGGCGCTTTCCACTGACAGCTTCATCATTGTACCCAAAGACATTCTCGGAAAAAATCAAAGTTTACAAACTTTTCCGTTTCAGGGGTGGCTGCAGTAAAACTGTCTTTATTGTACTGCTTATGTTTCCTAGGACCTCAGACACCTCAGTGATAATACCATGCCAAGCGACTGTGGATTCATTGTTGTTGTTTTTCCCCTAGAAGCAAATGGGAATATTTATTTCTTAGAGCTGTTTATCTGTTATCATTAGTGCCAGGAGACTGATCTGTTTTGAGTGAGCATGTAAAGTGTTACAAATGATGTATTTTTTCCTGCATTGAATACATATATTGGGTAACTGAGTACATATATTGTGCAATATTTTCCTACATGGAGGTTCATCTCATAGAGATGAATCTCCATCCAGAAAATGATAAAATATTATATAGTCCTTTAGTGTTAATTTGAACAAACACCAAGATCAATTTCTGAAAGGCTGTGCTGATGTAACTTTCGCTGACAGTGCCCCCCAGTTACAGGGTTTGAGAGGTTTTGCCAGAGACTGAGACATGCACAAATTCGCCAGCACTTGATGAGGTCAACGAACATGACGAATCCTGTATCTTGGAGGAAGAAATAACCTTTTTTTCCTAGTCAGTTGCAATATAATGAAAGATGAAGGGAAGAAAAGGCAGTGCCCTCAATCCTGCTTAGAGTTAGATGGCTCCAAGCCTGAATGGTTATAATAAATAACAGAATAATAATAGAAGTCAGTTGGGTTTAAGCCCCCTAACCTTGTGCAAGATTGAAGCCCATACTGTGTATAAACTGTATACACAGCTTGCCCCAACAATTTTGTAGAGATGGCTTTCTGAATTACTGTTTCTGTTAGCAATTGTACTGGAACAAGAAGTATGGATATAGCCCAAGCAATGCCAGATGCAGGTCCCTGTTTATGCAAAAGCAACAAGATAAATAAATTTGAATAATAATAAATTTGAATAATAATAAATTTGAATAATAATAATATTAATAATAAATAAATATCAGTTGGTCAGACCAGCATGCTAGCCTCAACAGAAGCCAGAGAAGACCACTTTTACTATAAGAGGATTCCTTATTTATTTATTTACTTTGTTTATACCTGGAACCAAAGTGGCTTTTATCATCTCTTCTCTTCCATCTTATCCTCACAACAACCTTGCAAGGTAGGTTAGGCTACAAGAGTGTGATTGGCCCAAGGTCACCCACTGAGCTTCCATGGCAGAGTGGGGATTTCCATCTGAGCCTCTCCATCCAGCCCACCTGCAATCAATAGGGACACTGTGGTCCTCTGCAAGTGCTGTTGCCACCCCTAAAGATGAGGGCAAGGTGGTAAGAGATCTGAGACCCCTAGTGGTGGAAAAGGAGGAGTTGGAAAACAGTAGACAGAAAATTGGGTAATGGGAACAGGTGCATGCAGGTATCCATCCAAAAGAAAGATGCTTTCCTATGACTGTAATTGTATGCAGGCTAATTTCAAACTCTCTAGTGCACTCAAGGAGACTGTCTTCTGGGTCATGGGTTGTGTGAATTAGATAATGTGGTAGCCCCTCACACACTAGCTGAAACATATCACATAATGACAGAAAAATCTCACAACTAATAATGTGATCCTATATCACAAGAAGAGACTATTTTGCCGGCGAGTATTAGAGCAGAAGGCTTTGTGCTTGATTAAGGGGAGGTTGCTTAATCTTTAACATGTAGAAGAAGGAGAAGACATTTTGGGGGTAGAGCTTGATTTGTGAGAAGTGAGGAAAGCTGCGTCTGCTGACAGGGTATTCCTTAATCAATTACGAAGGTTTATAACATTATAGTTTATAGCTTATAAAATAATGTATGATGTGAAGAAAATGAGGAGATTCTTTTTCCGTCTCCCTACTAAAACTTTGGGTCACTCATCATCGGCAGTAGGTTTAGAACAGCCAAAAGGACGTACTACATTACGTAATTTATGGAATTTAGTTATGGTCACTGGTTTAGATGGCTTTAAAATGGGATTTGACAGATTCGTCGGAGAGGTCCTTCAGTGGCTGTAAGCTATGATGGCCGAATAGAACCTCCATGTTCAGAGGCAGTATAAATCTAAATATCAATTGTGGGGTAAATTGTGGGGGAACATTGTTTGCTTTCACCCACTGCTGGCAGGCTTCCTTTTACCAGGTGGCTGGTGGGAAATAGGATGTTTTACTGGACAGATCTTTGGTTTGATCCAGCAGGGCTTAGTTTATGTCTATGAAAGATACAAATACAGGTGTTCCTTACATATCACATAGATAACAGAAAAATCTCACAACTAATAATGTGATCCTATATCACAAGAAGAGACTATTTTGCCGGTGAGTATTAGAGCAGAAGGCTTTGTGCTTGATTAAGGAAACATTAATGGACTGGCTTGCTTCTTGTGTAAAAGCAACCCAAGTAGCTTGTTTTGTAAATAAGAGGGAGAGAATTTGCGGCCCCAGCACCAAGGGAAGGGCATGGCGGGAGGTCACTGAAGGGCAAACTTGTATTCGTCTTATGACCCAAGTTTGAATAACACACATCCAACCTGGTTTGGAATAAATTAGCCACAACGTTATTGGTTGCAGCTGTGAGAAGCTTTGGCACAGCATGGGAAACCGGATCCTGGACATCTAGTGACCCACCAACCAGTGGAGGATCTCCTGCCCACCCCAGCCCTCTGGCTGGGGCTGTGAGAACCATGGGATGACAGATTGCTGGATTCCACAAGGATGACTGTCACTTAAGTAGTCTTCCTTGTCACCTGAGTGGGAGGGTAGCACCCAGCAGCTGCTGAGCAGGGCACTCTCCTTGAATCTCTCACCCCAAGATCCCTTAATGGGATTCCCATACTCCGGAAAATGGGCACACAGGCCAGCTTTCCTGAGAATGGATCTGGCTCCATGATGATACCACCACAAGAGCTGGCCCTCTCACCGTCCAGCTTCTGCCAGTGCTCCTACAGCTGTAGCCAACCCTGTAGGGCATCCCTAAGACCATGCAGCCAGATATCTATCCCCCAGTGAGATAGGTGGACCCTGTCAGACCAAAACAGGGCTGCCAATCTATGAGAAATGTCTGGATGGCAGATCCTACGGCCCCCCCATGGCCTCCACACACTTGCCCAGCCTGTTGGTCATCTTCTTCCTCACCATGTCAGCTTACTCTGGGCAGATGGCCCCACACCAAGAGCGTCACTCTAGCCAGTCGGACCAGAATATGGTCACAGCTGGGAACTCCTTCCTCAACAACTGCATGTCTGCTTCAGCCTGCTGCACCAAGTCAATGCCTGTGCACGACCCCAAGTCATTTTCACCAAGCTGTATCACTAGTGCACGAGGATGCTTGTGATGACGCAAGCAGCACCGTACTGCGGGTAGGAGGGTTTCCCATCTCATACCTCATACCAC